CATAAAATAAAAAATTTATATCTTTATGTTTGAAGCCTGAAATGTGGCAAAAGGTTGAAAAGTTCAAGGGGGCCGAATACTTTCGCAAGGCACTGTATTTATTAATTTTCCATATCATTTTACACTTATAAAATAATTTTAATGTGAACAGGAAGTGTATTCCTTACTAAGCAAAGAATGTATTTTTTAATTAAGTGCGTGAGCCAAATACATTGACACACTACATTTTTGGTTTGATCTTAGCAATGTTAAAATGAGTAAGGAAAAAGTTTCAGAAATTCATTAAACAATATCCACAGATATTCATACAGACTGCCTTCATCTAGTTGCAATTATTTACACTTAATATGAATATTTCCCCGTAGCAGAGAGTAGCTACTAGTTTACTTTTCTGTTTGGGAGTATGGATTAACATCAATCTGAAGGGAGCCGGTATTGGAAAAATAGACTGTTTGCTCAAGTTTAGCTTAGGATCTCCATTTCCCAAAAATACCCACTGGGCAACTTCTTGGTATCTACTGTAAATCACAAGTTCCTGTGCTGCCATCCAGTGCTAGTGATTCACACTATTTATCTGTTTTGTTATCTGTTGTAAGGTACTGTATGTGTAGTGATTCTGATTTTGTTTTGCAGATTTGCAGATTAACTACTAAAGTCAATTTAGTACATGGTGCCTGTAACAGAACATACTGTATCATTCATTTTCCAGGTTAATACATTTTAATATTTATGTATTTGCTTTGCCTAAATTAATACAACAATGGTATTTTAATGGAGGAAGCTGCTCATTCTAAACTTTTTAAATAGCTCAAAAGACGGGTCAAATCTTTAAACATCCCTTGAAATGCCTATTTATTTAAAAAGGACACAATGAGAAAATGTATTTACAAAATACTGACACAGTTACAAAGTACCTGCTAGTTAAAGTTTTTTTTAAGAAAAGAAAATCCTCACAACAAATAATTAAAAGTACATGATTTGAGAGTATCTGTAAACTATAAACTGTCAACTTCAGTATACAGAGTGCTACATGATTACACGAAATGGCACAAAAACAACACTAACAATTGAAACTGGTTGCATTGCGGAATTGTAAGGGGGCTGAGTGACTGCAGAATGTAATTCTCAGAGTAAAAATTGATGACAGTAAAAAAATAAAAACCTCAGCTTTCTAAACTGCAATTAAGTCACAGATATTACCATATAAATAAAATTTATGAAAAAGATAACTAATAGCGGTCTTTTAAACATCTTTGAATTGAAAGAAAACAAAACTGCAGGAGCACCAAAAAAGACATACAGAACACACAGAACATCTAATTTCAACTATTTTACAAAACCGAAAAAAAACATGAGATGAGATGAGATAACACAGAGATGCTGTTTTCCTGATGTTCTAATTTGGTGAAAAAAGAACAAATGGCCAAGTGAAATAGCCTGTAGCAGCCAATTAACTCAGAGTAGTTTACAAAGGAATAGAGGCTTTATTCTAACATTACTGTATATAAAGTGATAATTTAAACAGAAAATACACATTACAATGTGTTCTCACCATAACAGTGTTTATTCAGATGTAAATGAACCTTGGGCTTGTCCCTTGGGCCCAGAATAAAGGATGATTAACACATCTGTGTGAAACTCTATGGACCAAATTTTGAAATTCAGGGAAAAATGAAACAGCCCCACAACATTATGCTACTACCACTATGCTTCACTAACAAGATGGGCTTGAGTGTGTGATGTGTTGTGTTGGGTTTGGACCAGATATAAAACACATCTAGACTGACTTTTCATCTAGACTGAAAAGTTCAAATTTAAGCTTGTTTGAACACAAAATATTTTGAAAATATTTGCAGTATCAGTTAAAAACCTTGTTGCCAATCATAAACTGTATGACACGATTTTTGTCTGTAAAGAGGTACTGATTTCAATAACTGAGAATATATCATACTTGACATTTTCTCAGTTATTGAACTCTGTACCTCTTTACAGAGAAATGGCTATCACTATGTTCCCAAACCAGTTTCCTCCCTTCAAGACTACTCAAAGTAAAGGGACAGTCTGAGTAAATGTCTGCATTATACAATATACCTTCCACTTTTTAATGATAAACTTCACTGTGCTTTTATTTTCCCCCTTGGTTTATTTTTTAAGGATGGATGAATTGAAGCAAACTCTGACACCATTAAGCAATTTTTATAACAGAAATTATTTTCCTTAAAAAAAGATTTTATTTCTAAGAAAGCACAAGTTAACCCACAAAAAACTCCATCCAAATGTTTTTGGATGAATACATAACATCTTGACTTTCTGAAAAAAGAAGTGGTAGACAAGGGACGTGTTTAGAGCATAAAAGTGGCAAGACATTGTAAGAGTCCAAGTTTGAGTTTTTAAACCCAGATCATAGTGTTGAAAAATAAGACCCACAAACAGAAAACATTTATAAGCTGTTACCTCTGTCAGCTGCTCCTCTGGTGCAGGCTGTATAAACTGGTTATGATGTTGCAGAATTCTTTTGAAATAGTCTAAGACATTCTGGCAGGGCACTGCAAGGAGACAAAACATACATAAGGAAACTTAATTTCAAGAATAAAAATCAGTCTATTATTTAAAACTGTACATCTGCTGAAAGAGTTGCCCCCCAATAATCCTTATTAATTAAAATGTATTGAAACATTATTTGGTGTAAATTGCTGTGCCAAGAGAATGGCAACCTGGCCATAAGGCTGATGGGACCCCCCTCATTATTGCATGACAAGGGAAGGAGGGGTGTGATAAAGTAGGGTCTGCAAAGGGGGCTGCCAAAAGCCTGCCAAAAGAGTTGGGAGCTGACACTGCAGCTGCCTAAACACCAGTGGGGGATGAGAGGGAGGGGGTGGGCCCTGGGAACGGGTTGGGCTATGAACGAGGGGCCTGGACCAAGCACAAGACCAATGGAGTGACGGCAGAGTGAGCAGCAATAGCCACTTAGGCTCCTATGGGGACGAAAGAAAAGCAAAATTAAAGAGGTGGAAGAGAAAAAACACCAGAGATAGGTTGAAACTGAATGTGAGGTCCCTTACAAAGAAATGGAGCAGAAAGGTAAAAGAGAACATGAAACAGGGATTCCATAATGTGGGGAGGGAGACAGAAGGAAAGGACAAGAAATGTTCTCATCACAGTCACCCAACAGAGAGGATTTGGTTGTTTCCTGTAGGAAGAAAGCTGGAGATACAGAATTGGATGATAAAGTTTCTTTCTAGCAGGAGAAAATGCTGTGTGAACATGAGAGGCTATTGCTATTTCTGCATAGGAGAGCAGAAATGAACAAAATTAGAATGTGACCTCAATTTAATTGTTTGCAGTTATTATAGTACTTTTCATCCTAAAGCGTCCTAAAAGATCCTATAGCAGCCACAATACACATCATTCTATCATTTAATTCATGGCAAGACAAATTTTCATTTAGACATCTTCAAATTATATTTCTAAATCATTTTAAGATGTCTTTAAATATTTAAATATATCCTAAAATGATTTATAGATTGCCATGACCACTCCTTGCACAATGAATTAGAGCTCCTTCCATCAGGGTGTAGATTTAGTCTCCCCACATTACAGTGCAATGCAGCTATCCTTTATTAACACAAATTTATTCCTGCTTATTTTAACAAATGATTGTTATACTTCTATTTGTCTTTTTAATTGTGAGGATTAGTTAAAGCTGCTAACCTTTTCCCATCTTTTGCATGTGTTAGCAAATAGTTTGCTTATTGTTATAGTACTGATTGTTATACTTATTTTTTATTTTTATTTTTTTATTACTGTATTCTAGATTATCTAATTAGTGACCTGTGGTTCAAATCAGGTTATTGTTACGTTAGTGACGCAAAGATGCAGGAACTGTTGCTAAGTAAGCCACCTTACAATTTGAAGGGTACTAGGATCACTTCAGTTACATAGCCACGTCATGACAAACAACCTTTTCATACCCCTCCAATCTGGCTTCCGTCAACTTCACAGCACAGAAACTGCCCTGGTCAAAGTCACCAACAAACTTTAAAAAAAAAAAGTTTCTGATTCTGGTTCTCTTTCTATACCCATCCTTCTTGATCCCAGTGCTGCTTTTGACACTGTTGACCATAACATCTTACTTTCTCATCTGAGACTGTGTTTGGAGTTTCTGACACTGCTCTCAATGGTTCAAATCTTACCTAACTGATCGCTGTCACTTTGTCTCTCTTAATGGGTACAGGTCTGAAATTGGTCTTGTTAAGTCTGGTGTTCCTCAGGGCTCAATACCGGGCCCCTTGCTCTTCAGCATTTACATGTTCCCACTTGGTCAGCTAAGATCATTATGGTTTCAGCTTTCATTTTTATGCTGACGATACTCAAATATACATCCATACCAAACCTGACACTGATGTGGCTGTCTCTATTCTATCTAATTGCATCTCTGACAAAAATTTGGATGACTCAAAACTTCCTTCATCTTAACTGCGACAAGACTGAAGTCTTGCTTATTGGCACCCCCCCCATCAGCTTCGTGAAGCCAGTCCTGTAACCCTATCTGTAGATGGCTCTGTAGTTGAGCTTCAATCAAAATTTAAAAACCTTGGGGTTATATTTGATTCTGTCTTAACATTCGACCCACATGTGCAGCATACTGTCAAAACGTCATTTTTTCACCTCAGAAATATCGCTAGACTACGCCCTATGCTATCATTAACTGTGGCTGAAAAGCTGATCAACACATTTGTATTCTCTCGAATTGACTACTGTAATGCTCTACTCACTGGGGTATCTAAATCTACTCTGACAAACTGCAGTATGTCCAAAATTCAGCAGCCAGAATCCTGACCAGGCCTAGTGCAAGTGTTCACATTACTCCTATAATGGAGTCTTTGCACTGGCTTCCGGTCAAATTCCGTGTAGACTTTAAAATCCTCATGCTCACCTATAAGGCTCTGCATGGCTTGGCACCTCAGTACCTATATGAACTATTTTCGCCCTACTCCCCACCTCGCAACCTTCGCTCTTCTATTTCTGCTCTCCTTACTGTCCCCCAAGCCGTCTACATTGTATGGGTGAAAGGGCCTTCTCCTGTTAGGCCCCCAAGCTCTGGAACTCTCTCCCCAAGCATATCAGAGAGTCACCTTCTCTAAACTCCTTCAAGTCCAGACTCAAAACTCTCTTCTTCAGAAAAGCCTTTACTTAACTGGTTCCATTCTTCACCCCTCTGCTTTTCTTAGTACCACCATTCATGGTCTCCTCTGTACAGTATATTGTAATTGTGTTTTATCTTGTGTATTCTTTTTATTTATTGTTATTGTCATCCTGTAAAGCGCTTTGAGAAGCCACCTTTAAAGGCGCTTTATAAAATAAAGTTAATGAATTTGGTAATGACGGTAATGACTGTATTGCACTGTAAATGAGCAGGAGTGTTGTTCTCCTACTTATTGTTTATACAGTGGCTAGTTGCTTTAAGCACTTTAAGTGACTTTAGGTAATGTTTTGTGCTGTATTATGGTGATGTTTTAAGTAACATTTTTGAGTTTTGGAACCAATCAGAAATGTATTATTTCAGATTAATTACACAGAAATTGATGTGAATTTATTTTCTATTATACAAGTCTTCACCTTTGAAAAGTTTTCAAGGAATGAATTAAGCTAGTATAACAAGGGATTACTGTACTTTGTTTGAGCTAAGGAGTTCCTAACACATGGAGATTTTCAACAGCCAAAAACTTTCCAGATTTCAGTACAGTGTACAACAGACAGGCCCCACCCAGCTATATACTCATTGCAGACCTGTACATGATTTCCTAGGTTCATCACTCACAATACACTCTAGCTTTTTTACCTATACATACGTATAACTCCATAACACACTCCATATGTACTCTCTTTCATGTTATTCTTTAACACAAAAGCTCAACCTGTTGTGTGTACCCACCCCTGCCAAGGTCCTTCTCTGTCCCTGCAGTGTAGAAAAGCCAGATGTCATCCAATGTTAGAGAGCCAGGATCTGGACAGGAAGCTCCTAGCACTCTCCCTACACCAGCTGTACTTCCTGACTCTGGCCTTTACTGGCCTTTGCTGCACACCAGCAGAGATAGGGACATAAAAATCAGTCCTCCCACCCTTACTACATTAGGGTTGGATCTCCTGCTCTTTTTTTGACATCTGAGTCTCCTCCTTTCTGGTCATACTACTACACATTAACTAAATCGCAGTGGGAAGCCCTTCCAGCTCAATATACACCATGCAATCATTCAAAAACACCACAATCTTCTCACACACTTTTCACATTCTTCACTCATATTCAGGTAAGATTAGACAGGAGAAAGGTCTCAAAACTGCCTGAACTGTCTGAACACAAGTACAATGGCAACACCTCCTCAGCGTCTACAGTCAACAACCCTCAGAGACCCAGGCAATGCTTCTCTTTGGGTGTCTCCAAGCACACATTAATTCATCCATAGGCATCTGCAGTCTACAGTAAGTCAGACTGCATTGTGGGTGACTGCAACCTATTCTGCCCATCAAGTTTCTTTTCATCAGACTCTGTCTTAGAGCACCAACCAACGGTATGGACTCCATTCCAACTGCATTTCACGCATCTCCATGGACTTTCCAGCAGACAGCAACAGTGCCCTATCCAGCAGCTTTCCTTGCATATTTGCATTGTTTAGGCCAGCAGCTCCTTTTAGGGAGGATTCAGTCCTAATCCCACAGATTTACTTAGCCCCGCCACTACCCTGGTGAGCACAAAGGAGAGTTCTCCACTGCTGCTTTTAAGAGGGGCTGTTTTTTCTCTCTCTGAAGTCTGAGAGAGCCTATACAGTTCATCTGCATCCCAAGAAACCCAAGAAATCACCTGTAGCTCATCTAGCTATTGATCCCTATAGCTGCGGCTTCCTAAGGCCAGCATCACACTACACGACCTTTCCTAGGATTTTCAGTCATAGCCTTCATTTACATAATCGTAAGAAAATCACAGAGAGTCGCAGCACACGCCCATTACCATAAGTTGTGTAGTGTAACACCCCCATTGACTCAGTCATAGAGCTCTTAACAGCCCCTACGGCTGTCTGTGACGTGCAACAACAAAATCAAACTGGTTTAGTTTCAAACTGGTCACAAGTTGTAGGGGTGGGCTCTTGTATCTGTGACAGTGAACAGCTAATGACTGCTTTCTTGCTCAGTTAGTCCCAGAAAGTACTACACGGACTGTTTATATGAAGTCCAGTGATAAGCAACTACAGTACATTCCGTCCTTGGCTTAAAGGTATAGTCCACTCTGACAGGCTAAAAGAGCTGAATTATTTTAGACTTAAACATAAGAAGACCAGCCATTCCTGAACAAATGTCTTACACTTGTCTTCCACAAGAAAGACTTTGACAAGACCTGAGTCAAGAATCAAAATCATCAATTTGAGGACACTTCTTTACACAAATGGTTATGGGAGTATAGAACAGATTTCCCATGTTGTTGAAGCTGAACTTTACTTCTTCATCAAAAGACTTGATGAGAACCTTGGATCAATCTGTTACCAAAAAATAA